CCCCCAGTTCGCCGTCCTGCTCAGCCTCATCTTCCTGGTGGAGATCGCTGTTGCCATCACCGGCTACGTCTTCAAGCACAAGGTGGGGGTCCCCGACCTCCCCCCATCCCCCGGGGGTCCCTGACCTCCCCCCATCCCCCGGGGGTCCCTGACCTCCCCCCTGCCCCCCCAGGTGCACGGGCTGGTGGAGGAGGGGCTGTGGGAGGCCATGCGAAAGTACGAGCTGGACCCTCCGCTGGCCGCGACCCTGGACACCTTCCAGCAGGAGGTGAGAGTTTGGGTCAGCCCTCATTTGGGGAGGGGGCTGCTCCTGGACCCCCCCTCCCCACTCCCCAGCATTCCTGACCCTTTTTTTCCCCGCAGTTTTCCTGCTGCGGGGTGAACAATTACACGGACTGGGCGAGCGTGGAGCCGTTCGGGGCCAACCACACCGTGCCCAGGTCGTGCTGCCGGGTGGTCGCCGACACCTGCAACGTCCGGCCCAGCCCGGCCACGGTGTTCGAGAAGGTGAGACCCCCTCCCCAATTCCTGATCCCCCGCTCCCCGATCCCCCCCCCCTGACCCTCCTCCCGTGCCCCCCAGGGCTGCCTGCCGAGCCTCGAGGCGTGGGTCAGGAGGAACATCGTGGTGCTGGCGGCCGTGCCGCTGGGCATCGCCTTCTTCGAGGTGAGAGACCCCCAAATGTGGGGGGAAACCCCTCCAAAATTTGAGCTGAGACCCCCCCCGAGTGTGAGAGTGAACCCCCTTCAGTGTGGGGATGAGACCCTCAAAATGTGGGGTGAGACCCCCCTGAGTTTGGGGTGAACCCCTGCTCAGTGTGGGGCTGAGACCCTTTAATGTGGGGTGAGACCCCCCTTTAATGAGGAGTGACCCCCCCAATATGGGGCTGAGACCCTTTAATGTGGGCTGAGACCCCCTCCTCAGTTTGGGGTTCAGACCCCCCCAGGTTGGGGCTGACTGACCCCCCCCCATGTCAACCTGACCCCCCAAGTGTGACTGGACCCCTTTTCCTTCTTCCCCTCCCCAAATTTAACTGACCCCTCCATGTCCAGCTGGCACTGACCCCCCCCCATTTCTGACTGACCACCCCCAAATTTAAATGACACCCCCGAGTGTCCCTGTCC